TATATTAGAAGGACAGTGACACTAAACAACAGACATTTACCACTGAGTCGAAAATTACGCCATTTTCAATTATGTGCCAGGTGGCATTTTCTTGGGAACAACAATAACAGAATATCTGCACAAGCACTCAGACCAACAAAATAATAAACCATTTAAATATAGGACAAATTATGTTACCTGAATATTTTTATGACAAGGCACGTGATTAGCAAGACTGTTAATACGCAGATGAAAATCGAAATGCTTTTGATGGTAGGAAGATCCCTTAAAATAGTAGAAATACGAGATCCAACCGCTGAATCGGTTTCATTATGTGATGAATTTTCTTCTTGAGGGGGTAATGTTGAATTGAGCGGCGTCGCTGAGGATGGACGCGTATGTGGCTCTCCGTTCACCTCATGCGCAATGACAACAAGAGCAATAGCCAAAGTATATAGCCACATATTGTTTCCCTATTTAAACTGCTTGCTTGATGTCTTGTTTATTGAAAAGAGTCAGTACAGAGAAGGTCGGCGTTCTGTAACTCGAAACGTGAACAACAGCTGGCTGACGAATGGTGTTGGGAAATGACGCTCTGACATCTCAAATATTCCACGGTTCCCACAGTCGGTCGTCAAACATGCTGTATCTCGCGAACTATCTGTCTTCCACCTCGAGTGCTCTGTTTCATTCGATGGTTTGCACTCACACGCAGCTCGGCCCGTTATCCAGGATGTTTTCTTGGGAATGCGTGTCGGCAGGAGGAAATGTGGGTTATCCACACCCGGAAGAGCTCCGGGAGGGTCCAAACTGACGAGGAACCAAAGCGCATCAGCGTTTGGCACAAACGTGGTGTTATGGAAGAAGGGCGCGCGTTGATAGTTGTGGTGTTGATAGGGTGGCCATATGTGCCATTTATACGGGACACGTCCTGGCCATGATTTTTATATTGCCTAAAACATCCAAAGTAGTTTGACCAATAACATGCAGGTATCGTACATAATCGACCAATCGTAGCGCGTCGCGTGTGAGAAGGTGACAACGATCAAAGCGATGCAAATACGCGCACGTGTTTGTTCGTTCGTTCGTTCGTTCGACGAATCGCTGGGCACCGATCATTGTATGACACCAAAGTACGGCGAGAGCGATTTGAACGCATAAGGAGCCGTCTGCTCTGCTCTCTATAGCTCTCGTGAAATAATGTCATACAGCGATCGATCTGCTCAGTGCTAACAGCCAAAACCTGGTTATTTTAGACAATTAGAAATCCTGGCAAGGGCCGGTGCGTCCCGAAAAAATTGTCCGTATGGTCACCCTTCACGGTGTTGAAGTATTGAATTGTTAGAATAGTTAATAGTTGAAGTATTAACTTGCCAATGTTAGATAGCTACAGGTGGGTAAAGTTTATTTTTGAATTATTTCAACCAATTTGAACAGTTTGTGCAAGGAACACACATTATTTTAAAAATCAGTGTGATATAGACTTTACAAAGCGGCTTGTGTTGAAGAATTATTCATTAAGTACTGTTTAACCGCAACAGAAAACCTGAAAGCCTCATCTTATCCGAGAGAATCTCTGTTCCTAAAATAAGGGAGCATTAAATGTACCCTGCAGCACAAAAACAGCCTGCTTAATTTGAGAGAGAGTGGAAAACGGTCATGAAAAAAAATAATGAGACTGTTTATATTGTAAAAAAAACAACAACTTATAAGTGGACCTCAAAAGAATAAATGCATGATTTGACCTCTTAAGGTTATAAGTAAAGGAAATGGGTTATTCTTGGATTAGGCTTTGGCTTTCCTGTGTTCCATCCTGACAAAGAAAATGGTTTTAAGGCAGTTATTTCTATCTTTTGCTGTAGTGTGTCAGTAGGAAATAGAAGTTTACATGATCAAACACTCCTTTTACCATTAATTTTAATGATCCATTGAGATTTTTGTATGCACAAGGAGTCTGACACAGAGATCTGATCTCATTATCATCCAGTCTGAGACACACCAAATGTTGATTTGTTAGAAGTTAATTGATAAATAAACTCTATTTATGACATTATTTTTGACAGCATCCCCACTTTACAGCATTTTACACAAGTGCCTAAAACAGTAGCTTTGTAGGTAGGTTTCTTCCTTGACATTGATAAAGTTCTTCTGGATTTATTCTTAGATTTATGTTCATTTATTTCATACTAAGTATAGTTCAAATCTGTTAACATATTTACTGACATATCACTCGAGACTTACTGATATAAAAAAAATATAATTAAACTTTATTTGGAGTAATACTTGTGCACAATGCACATTTCTTAATATTAAGCCTAAAATGTGTTTTAATGTCACTATTGTTGAGGATTGTATGATCTTTGAATAATATCAGTCTTTAAATGCAAGATATTTAAAGTGTACCTAAAGTATACTTGCAATAGTTCCACTTTAGAACAATTACATATACTTCAGTATGTCTTCAGTTGGACTTCAGCACTACTTCCGCACAAAATTAGTTGTTCCAATTTAGCAGACTTTAAGTATACAAGTTTAGTATACCAAAAGTACAATTGCAGGGTATTTTTATTAAGTACATATGTAAATATATTTGTAGTATACTTAGTATGAAATAAATGTATTTCAAATACATTTTAGTATATTTAATTTTCACTAGGGTATACCTGTGACAAATATATGTGTGTATATATATATATATATATATATATATATATATATATAAAGTGTGTGTGTGTGTGTGTGTACTAACATAAGCACAGATTTAATGTTTATAAGTCAACTCTCAAGCATACATTACCTTGGAAGAACTGTAACTTTCTTTAGATCCACAGACTAAAAATATATTCATAAGGCCACAAGTGGGCTCCTAGATATCTGTGTATTTTTCAGACCAGCCAATATTTTATTTAACATCTTTGTTTTATTCTGTACTACACTGTCATGTGCATCCAAATTTGTGTGCTGATATTAGGGGCCATAATATCACATTATCATTTATTTATTATTTATTTCAGAAAAGTACAGACATAATAGCATCTTGGCTTTGATGCCACATTCTATTTATATTTGGCTAATTTATATATAATTCTAGTCTTGGTTGTACACAAATAATCAATAGAGTTCAGCTCGAGGCCTCTGCCTTCCATGAACAGTCCACCTGGTGCATTTGCCAGTGCCTACGTGGCATGACTTTAGAGAAGAAGGGGGAGGGGAATGATCTAGTTACAGTTGCTTAGTAACCAACTGCAGTATGCAGACTAGCTGTTGGAGAAGACAGAAATGAGCCCTTGACAGAGCTGAGCTTCTGCTACTGAACACATCGGCTACTTGTTCATAAATTAAAGGTTATAAATATTTAAAAAAACTCATGCAGATGAGTTTTCGATCAATATGTTATTCATACTGCAATAGCATTAATCCAATGTGTCTTATTTGGGCTGTTGCAAACATGAAACCTGTTTTTTCTTGGTGACTGTTGCATTGATAATGTTATTTATATTACAGTGGGTACGGAAAGTATTCAGACCCCCTTAAATTTTTCACTCTTTGTTATATTGCAGCCGTTTGCTAAAAAAATTGAAGGGGGTCTGAATACTTTCCGTACCCACTGTATATGTAACTATAATATAAATTCATATACAATTAATATCAAATAAAATAATGTAAAATTGCAAAATAATCAAATCTACTGTTTTGACTATTTAGTTAAAGGGGTCATATGATGCGATTTAAATGTTTCCTTTCTCTTTGAAGTGTTACAAGCTCCGCTCACTCTAGCCCACCGTAAAAAGCAACGCAGCGTGTAAAAAGACAGTATAAGTCATTATAATCCGCAATTATGTCCCCACTGGATGCAACAAATGCCTCGTTTATAATGGGTTTTAATGTTTTTGTCTCGTCGCCATAAACACATTTCATTACACCAAATACACAAAATAATGTTCTTTTTAGCAGCATCATATGACCCCTTTAAAGAATTAATTTGATTGATTCTTTTTTTTTAAATTAAAGATGTCATAATAGTAACACAAATTCAAATAGAATAATTTTTGCTCAGTTAGCCTATAGGTTTTAATGAATAGTGAAGATGTCTGAAATGTACAACTCACGGAATTACTGAATAATAACACTGCGTATTAAATAAAAAATAATAACAGTAACATGGCACTCTGAGCCTTCTGGGCCAAATTTCTGTCTTCACAAATCCCTTATTAACAAACAGACAAGATTATGAAATTCAACATAACACAGAATAGGCCACAGACTATTTTGAAGACACAAAATTAGATCAATTAACCTCAAAACTTGTTTTGACTGACTTAATCTTACAAATGTTGACATTCAGATGAAACAAAATTAAGAAGAGCACGGAGAGCACATTGTTTTTATACAAATCACATTGTGATGAGATTAGGTTGGGAGTTTCATATATATTACAAATATTTGTTTAAAATGCAATTGCTTTTAATCTATCACATGCTGGTGTTAGCAAATAATAATAATAATAAACAAAAAAGATAATAAAAATAAATATTTAAAAATCACTTTTTGAGGTATTACTGTGTAATTTATCTTCTGTTCCCTTCAAGTAGCTAGCCTAATGTTAACCACTGACGCATAAATCAAATTTGGATTTGTGTAAATCAAAAACAAAAGAAATGTACAATCAGAAAACATGGTTCCAAAAAATGCAAATTCTCTTCTTGATTTTAGAACTACAGACTGAGGAGCTCTTTTGTTTTGCGTTGTTATATAAATGCCAAAGCTTTATATAAGTGGTACAGTAAGGTAAGTGGTTCTTTGGGAACGCTTTGTTGTTGTATCGTCAGCATTTGTGGTTAAATTATAGTGTTGTCAATATTCCAGTGTAAAAAGTACAAATATTCCAGTGTAAAAAGTTTTTTACGGTCACCGAAATCAATTAAACGTTAGTTTACAGATACAATCATGGATGCGTGGCGGTAATACACCATAAGTTGGCTTGTCAACCGCCATAAAATCGTACAAGAAGAACAATCATGGATGCTGCGTTTCTTCTACCCAGAATGCTGCAGTGAGAGGACGTGGTCTCTGCTTACGCTGAAGCTCAGGGCTGTCCACCCGATCAGTATAACAGCGCTGGCAGAGAGGACGAGGAGCGCAGACGGGAGAGAACAGACGGCGAAGATGGCGGTGCGACAAGATCTCATTAAAACGAAGAATATTAACGACGAGAATGTCGTCGACCCGTTCAGATGAAAGAGCAGATCGCAACGGTGGGAACATGGTAAGATTTCATTACAGATTATAATTTATAGACGTGTTTGAGCGAGTTCTACAGACGCACCAATATGGTGGAAAAGGAGAGGGTTCGACGAGGTGTTGTAAAATGGCCATGATGGGGCCATTGCCAAGTACTGAAAAATAGCATTCCGTCGATTTAATCGACGATTTTATGGCAAAAACATCGCGAAAATGTTAGGAAAACAATGCATGGATATGTTGCAGGAAAACTGTGAAGATTTCAGCTGACAGCAACGAAGAGAAACAAGGATTTAACTGTCTACGCATTTTAAATTCGCTTTGTCCTTGAGAGGACATAATGTCCTTGTAACATTGAAAGCGGAAAAAAATATATTAAATTGAAACTTTGTTGTAATAATGCAATTTTGGACGTTCCATTTCCATTATCAACATTTTGAGTGTATTTTGTTGATTTCAAATGTTTTCTTTGAATAAACAATTTTATTGAACATTTTAATGCATTTATTGTGTCTTAATTACTGGAAAATATTTTTATTTTTTCCTGATGTACGTTGTTTTGAACTTCTTAAGAGAACATTGTGAATATGTCATTTTATCATAGGATTTTGCACATAATTTTGATGTTTTACTTTATTTTAGGATTTTATTGTTATCTGCATAAAATGTAATTGTTAAACTTTTGCTAATTTGATGGTTCTTTTCCACTTGGTAATGAACTTAAAGGTACCCACTTGTATTTCTTGTGTTTTGAAAAACATTTATGCTGTATTTTTCTACATTAAATAATAGGGTGTTGGCTTTTAACCCATTGTGGTCCACAAGAAGACTTTATATATTTAAAAAAAAAATTAGAAACTTGTTTCTTAATTTCAGTTTTTCCTTTTTGATTAGAGATTTATGTGAAGTACATTTTTACCTGATTAGTACGGTTTTAAATATTAAATGCCTTAAAATTGTGCAAAAATTATTGATCAGTATAAAAAAGTCACATTAAACCTGGAATTTCTTTTTCCCTCTGGTTTTTGCCACAATATCATGGAAACATAACATAGAAAGTAATGCTCGTTAATAAGTCTTTATTTAAAGTGCAAAATGTTAACTTTGAAATATCATGAGGTCTTTGCTAAATATGTATATAGAATAAACTGTTATTCAGAAAACAATGGTTGCTACAAATGTTGCATGTAAGAATAAATAAAAATAAAACATGAGCCATCAGTGATGTTTCTATATCAAAGAGGTTTCTTCTATATGTATATTCTTCTGTGTGTGGTGTATTGTCACGTTATGTTCATGAAGTAGATTTTAAACAGTAGTACTTTCCATTTACTTGGACATTAGCTAAATAAATTGTATTTCATATAGACAAACCGCATGACTGAAATAAATATTTCTTTTGAACATTTTGACGCTGAAGTGAGCGTTACTATGTAAATGAGAATGCAATACTAATTGTCTATTTTTTTTTTTGTGTACAGGAATCAGAACAACTGGATGAAAGATGGCGGTTCGTTCAGTCTCATATCATGTAAATGTACGTGTTGATAACGTAATGTTGAATAATGCAATGTAAAAAAAAAAAAACTGCTGTACTTTGTACATTACATTTAAGCAATGTTTTGCCTTTTATTTACTTTATCACTGACTACCACTAGGTTGTGCTCTAAATCAAATTGTAAGATGAATTTTTGATTTAACGAAGAATCTTTTTGTTGTTAAAGGTTCCTGATCTGCCAAACGTCAAAGAAAGATGAGGAAAAGGATTTTCGCTGTAAGTATTGCACTTAAAGAAGCATTGTAGAAGCCTAAACTAATTCTTATCTTTTCTTGAACGTCATACAGTTTATATTTTAGCTACTTTATAGTTAAGTGGTATATGCTTTGAAAAAGCTTCAAATTTGCTTCAGTTTTACTTTACAGTAATTTGTACATAATTTAAGCAAATCGACAATAATGCTTTTATTCTAAATGCAGTCAGCTACAATAAATTCTAAACCGCATATGTTTTCAAGATATTTTAAATAAAAAAAAAATAAAGATCCTGAGTTTGCTATGGTAGCCATACCATCTGGTAATGTGACAGCAACATTCTATATGGTACTAGCTATGAACATTTTAACTTACATCCATCTTTAGCGATGAAATACAGACAGAAAAAATGCATTTATTAATAGAAAAATACTAAAGGCAACATTATTGCACAATGTTGTTTGGGAATAGTGTGGAAAAATGGTTTGTCACATTACAAAATATACCTAATGGCATAATTTGCTTTTCATTGCACCATTAATAGCTGGAACATTGCGACTTTTACTAATTGAATTAATTTAAATTGTCTAAATTATTCATTCAATTACAATAAGTTATTTATATTTCATCCCTGAGAACACATCAGCATCCCTAGTATGAACCGCTTTAATGCAGCAAACGAAAAAAATTAATAAAGGACACGTGACCTTGCAACAAATTTTATGTTTACAATAAAACGTAATTAATTTAAAGTAATTGTCACTCCAGTTACATTTAGGTTTGTTGTTGTTTTACTTGAAAACCAATTATTATTATTATTTTAAATTTGCCAGCATACCTTAAGCTCATTTATTGAGCACTTTGCAATACCTTTTAGTTCTTACTTCAGTTTATGAAACTTGCAACCAGAAACTTAAATTCACCAGTTGTCAGTTCATTGATTCCCTGGGAATTGAACCCACAACCTTACCTAGTGCAAGGATCTACTGTTTGAGCTTGCAGTAATAGCACTGCAATTCCTGCTCAAACTGTGGTTTCTAATAGCAAGTTAGCTACTTCATTGCAGCCAGGGTAATGGAGTCTAATTAGTGATAGCTTTTATTTATGACTCCCAAAGCAAACATTACTGTAATTATTGCTCATTTTAAGTATTACATTTCAGTGAGTAATTCACCGTGCACTGGTTGTGCTCCAAATGAGAAAAAGGAGAGCTGTTATTATTTTCTAAATAATCAGGCACAAGAATTTCATCTGGCAAATTTTGAATGTCCCTTACACTTTAAAAATTCATAAATGATATATAGGGATCACAGTATTGTGGGCATGGAACCTTGTGACTTGTTTACTGGGCGCTAGTAATCAAGTCACAACCAACTGCATAGTAATACTCTTAACAACCAATCAGAACATCCGAACATCACGGCAGTGACTTTTGCATGAAGCAGCATCAGTTGAATTAATCATTGGGCAATGTGACTCTAACTTGAGTTGAGAACAGCTCATGTGTTCTCAACTGACAGTATTATGTTTTATACTTCTGATCTCACCGATTGTCTTTCTCCCTGCAGATGACGTTTGCCTGAAGAGGATGCTTCAGTAAAGTTTCAAGGAACAGAAGACTGCTCTGTAAGTCCTCACAGTGTTATTTGTATTATTAAGGTTTTACTCCATATGTCTGTCATTTTAGCTACATTTAGGTCCCACGGTTAAGGTATTTTAGCCCAGCAAATGTAGTAGTCAGTAAACGGCATGAAATGGAAGTTTTGTCAAAATAATTAATTTAGAATTTCTGCAGTTCTCCAGTTTTACAAAAGGTAAAGAACAAATTCAAAGCCTAATAAAATGAGGTCAAGAATAGCTTCGAGTTCAGCTTGGAAAAGTGTAAATGTTCAGCTTTTTCAATTTGTATTGATGACCACACTTTTTACATTTACTTGTCTTCAGTACCTGAGCATGCTTGGGTGCTGTCTTCACTTCATCTTGTTTTCAGTGGAAACCTTTCTTCAGAAAAGTGACTCGTTTCTTGTGGAGCCAGTTCTGCTTTTGTGTGACTTGTTTTACACATCTTTCTTGATTCTCTGCCACTAATGGCCTCTTTTTGTTTTCACTGGCTATTGTATACTTCATTATGCATTGAAGATTTCACTATCACTTGCGCTAGTGCCACTTTTATACTGGAATACACCGCAACATTTCCATTTCCCTTGTGTGTTGTGTGATCGCTGAAACTTTTCTGCTTTTGATTTTGGGATAGGTATCCAGACAGGGACAGACCAGAAAACATGGTCTGTTGCTATTGCACATTAAACAATGTGCCTATTCCAGTGAATTATTCCATTTGCTTCATATTAAGACACAGTTTAATTTGAGCTGCCACCTAATTATTGTAATGACATGGTTGATGAAAAGGGATTCAAACAGTTTAGAAGAAAAATGATCTTAACTTGAGAATAAAGCTATTGACATTTTCAGTAAGCAAATGCCATGTTTATTGAGAGCTGTGACTTGAAGTATTTTTAATCACTTTTCTGAAGCCTGACTTTTATTAAACGTACTTCATACCAGGCCTTTTTTTCTTTGGGGATTTTTTTCTTTTCTTTATAACATATGGGACAACTTGTTGTCCCTTTTATATTTGTACTTATACACATCTGCATGCAAATTTCTCTGTTTATGAATGGACCCTTTGCAGTGTCACTTCTAATTTTTAATGGTTATTAAGCCACTTCGTGACACTTTTTTTATATATATATATATATATATATATATATATATATATATATAAAAATTCTGTATATCTTAATATTGGCCAAAGTTACACATTGTAATAACATTATCACAAGGACAGTTTTGTGACACTTTATGTATATATAAAAATGAAGGCTCTGCAGCCTAAAACCTCCGAATTACATAAATGTAACAGGTTTACTGTTTTTTTTTTTGTTTGTTTTTTCAATAAATTCCTTAAATACATTTTTAATATTGGCCAAAGTTACACATTGTAATAACATTATCACAAGGACCGACACATTAAAATAATTTAATAAACTTCAATAATTGAAGTTCTCACTTGTTTTTCACTTATTTCAATGCTTTTCAACTCTGACTTTTAACTTGGATACATCTTTGTTCTTGTATCAATAACTATTGGATACATCTTTGTTCTTGTATCAGTGACTATTATTACAAAGATTGGAATAAAGTTACCTTTTTTGAAGCACATTCCGAGAAATTAATAGCTAATGACAGACATATGTTGTAACACTACAGGATTTCAAAATGCGTATTTGTGTTGTGATCATTTAAACTTTGGGTCTATCATAAAGCTACTTTCTGAGTAGCAATGTAAAAAGTAAACTTAGAAGTGAACCAAATCCAGGTATTATAGATTTTTTGGTAGTTTTTGTAGTGTTGTTTCTTGTGATTTTATGCTTCTGAAATAGTGTGAATAGAGTTTTTTGCACCTACATCTGTAGGTGAATGTAACAAAATCATGCTATAGCTGCGGCAACTATGTAGCATTGTTCTGTTATTATCTTACCATCAATATATGAAAAATAATGCACTTTGTTGTTATTGTCTTGTTATTATGCTACAATTATTGAATGGACAAGTTGTGCATGTTAATTTTGAAGTTGCCTTAATTGATCACCTTGGGAGATTGACCATTGTCTTAAACTTGATAATCGTTAGTTAGAGAACTATACAAAAGGGGGTACTGATAAAATAATTTTTGTTCATAGCTACACCATAGCTGTACGTTACAGTTTATATGAAAAGCTGTTATCACATCTTTAAGAATACATTTGGGGTTTAAATGTTTTCCCTTCTCCTTTTTGATTTCATTAAGAACCAATTCTGGACAGTCAAGTGGACACTACTGCTTAATGAGGAAGATGGCGGCTCATATTTTGCTTTTGGATTGGGAAAGAGACATTTTATTTGTTTGTGATTTGCTGTGATATTTTAATTCATTCGCTAATGTGCTCAACAATTGTATGTAGCCTATTTTTACATATTTTACTGCATTGTTGTTTTGATGAAATGCCTGTATTTTAAATTTAAAAAATGCTTATTTGCCTTTTTAAAATAAAAAATAATTTCGTGATTGAACAATATCGAGTTGCTCTTATTGGATGGAGAATATAAATGACATTTCGCAAAAGATTTACTTTGCGGTTTATGTCGAAGTTTAACACCGCTTGTCCAGGTTTAAGGTTTTATTTTCTTATTTTTTAAAAAATACAGGTCTGCTATGTTATTTACTTAAACTATGAATTATTAACTGACAAGCTAGGTGATATTTTCAATCATTAAAGGGTTTGTGTCATTTTAACTGCCCCTAACGGTTGATTTTATTTTGATTTTATTAATTTTTTTTATTCATATGTTGTATTCCATAATTATGAGGATTTCGCAAATTATTTTTGTTTAATTTACTCCACCCATTAATTTCTTACTGAATTAAAATAACTCATTTGCTCACAGGGGCCATTCTGCAAGCTTTGGTGCACGCAACTTTCCTCTTTCAAATATCACGTTTGCCAAGTACATTACATATACCGAGCGGGTGAAAAATGGTTACAATTAAGTGGTCTAAAATGGTGTCCAGTGTAGTCCAGCACTCGCTGCAAAATGGCAGTCTGTTGTCTCATTTCCTGTCTGCAGGAAGTGAAGGCTTAAAGAAATAATTTTATTAACATAAAGACCACTACTGCCCTTCATAACCACTAATCAGTTGTTCAACTACTATCCCTGTAGGGTAAAATTAACTTGAGCATTTAATTTATCTTTAAAACTAGTTTTTATTTGAAATTAAAGGGGTGGGACTTTCGTGCATCACCTGAGCCCTGGGTAAATGGAGAGAACGTCAATCAAAGGCTAAGCTCTCAGAGCTGGGAAGGAGCTTTAGATGGCGGATGAACCTTGGGAAGGGGAGAGCGTTGAGCCTTGCAGGGCTCTCGAAAGCACTTGTATCTCAACTTTGGTGAACTTTGAGTGCCTCCCGTGGCACCGTAATCGCGCGAAATAGTTCGCTTTATTACGTTTTGGAGCAAAATGGCAGTCTGTTGTCTCATTTCCTGTCTATGCAGGAAGTGAAGGCTTAAAGAAATAATTTTATTAACATAAAGACCACTACTGCCCTTCATAACCACTAATCAGTTGTTCAACTACTATCCCTGTAGGGTAAAATTAACTTGAGCATTTAATTTATCTTTAAAACTAGTTTTTATTTGAAATTAAAGGGGTGGGACTTTCGTGCATCACCTGAGCCCTGGGTAAATGGAGAGAACGTCAATCAAAGGCTAAGCTCTCAGAGCTGGGAAGGAGCTTTAGATGGCGGATGAACCTTGGGAAGGGGAGAGCGTTGAGCCTCGCAGGGCTCTCGAAAGCACTTGTATCTCAACTTTGGTGAACTTTGAGTGCCTCCCGTGGCACCGTAATCGCGCGAAATAGTTCGCTTTATTACGTTTTGGACTGTAGAGACGTTAATGCGCGCGTTTTGCGACTTTGTTTCGTCGAAAACGGATCCGGTGTGTGCATAGAGTGGCCAGTCGTTGTTTTCCCTGCCTTGCACTGGCAGCCATAGCGGTCCTCCATTTGTAGTGCGCTCTGCTGGGCTCTTCTCACACTCTCTCTCTCCATTAAAATAGCCATCGGTGGATTACTGCTATTATTTTTCTTTCCGGATATTATTCCGATTATTATTTTCGTCTCACTCCTGGAATATTTTAGATTTTTTTTTCCCTGTTATGGCCAAAGTAATAAAACGGATATTTTGTTAGATGTGAATGTACTGATACACTCCTCCTCCTGTCAATGCAGTAGGTATGTTTACATCGTTTCTTTTTTATTGTCGATTTTATTTGCTATCATCGTTATGTTTTAATCGTCCTTTGTTTGATGACGCAGTAAGAATTTATGCATGTGGCTCTGAATCTATTGCCTTGAAATGCCATAGACACTTGGGTATTTGACATCGAATAGAGTCGAGCAGGTGCCATTTCAATTGCGGTGCCTTTTAATTTAAGAAATAATATAAATATTTATTTATTTTAAATTATCCGAGGCCAACTTGCCTTTTCCACATATCGCAACGGCAGGACTTTTTTTTTTTTTTTTTTTTTTTTTTTTTAATTAGATCACAACAAAAATTCTGAGATAGCACAGAATTCTAATTGATGTGAGGTCACAAGTGTGCCGTTTTACAACACATTTAGAGCTAAAAGTATTCATTTTACAATATGATATCAACATCTCAGTGTTTTTTATTCCAAAAAAAGTCACCTAATGTCCAGCAGCACTCTGTCCCGAGACATAAACTCAAAGGCGCTGAGGGAATTAGGGCAGCTTGAGACGGATTCCTCCTCGCGGTGATGCCAACAGTTCATTAGCCCCTGATGCTCTTAGAAAGCGTGAACAACCTGCGAGGATGTCAGATGGCATTCGATGCCATCTCAGGCTTAACTGTCATCTCAGATCCTCTCTCAGTGGATGATGGCAAATCTATATTTGATGTCACCACATACGGAGGTCAGCGTGAGAACATGTGATGCCACGTCTGACAGATCGCCTAAGACAAACAGATCCTGGGAGGATTTACAGAGGCTTTTTGCTTTTACTTGTCCCTGGAGTCACTTATATATAATAAACTGTCAAAAACATATTAAAACGAATAGTCCTGACTGACACAGCAACATTAATGGAACCTTATTTGATTTGATGTGCAAGATTTTGACGATATTCTTCAAAAATAAATAATCTTTTCCCCTTCAAATGTCAATGTAAAGACCTCATTTACATGTTCTTCACTTCCTAATTTCCATATTTCCAGCAAGAAAATAATAAAGATTTACTTTAATCATTTTGAATGGTTTAACATCTTATTTGAGGCAGTGGGCCAAAGCATCTCGACTGGAATAAGCTCTCATTGTTTCATTCATTCATGGAAAGCATTTGCACTGAATGAAATCTCCACAAACCCCTTAGCTCTGCTTTGAATTCGCACAAAAAGGCCATTGTATCATAAGGCCATAGTCATCATGTATAGTCAGTGTCTGCCTACTAGCATAACTAGCATACTATACTGCGTCATTGTTTAGTTAAGAGACATCACCACTTGTGACTGAAAGGGCAAGACAGGGATTGTGGATGTGTTCCAAAACCTAGTGAGCTTCCTTAAATGGGTCATAGGATGCTACATGCACTTTTACAAGTTGTTTGAACTGAAATGTGTGTTGGCAGTGTGTGTACACAACCACCCTATAACGA